CGATCAGGGTATATAATTTTAATTTTTTGGATATATAAACAGTAGTTGAGGAAGTCCAATCGTAGAAAAATGAAACATAATAGATATTGACATACAGCCCGACCTAACATATTTTAGGTTTCTTTGGCAAAATAAAATTTCGACCCTAAAAATATTATTTTATAATTTTTTAGCATTTTTTATATAATTTTTTTGATAAATTTCGAATTAAAAACAAAAAAATAAGATAGTTCTAAATTTTTAAACAAAAATAGGCCTTTTAATAAGAATAAAAACAAAATATTGGGTCTTTAATGAGAAGAATAACAAAAAATCAGGCTTTTAATGATTTAATGAACAGAATAGATTCAATAAACTTTTATATATCTAATGAAAGTCCAGTGGCACATTAAGTAAATAACACAGTAACTAAAAGTTATTCTTCTAAATGGGATTCTATTTTAATATAATAGACTAGATTTTGGACCTGTGCGTCCGTGCAGGTATATAATTTTTAAAAAGTAAATTATATAATCTGCAAAATATGATATGAAAAATGAGATTTAAAATATATTTCTTTAATAATTATATGAGTTATAGATTTATTATATGTGTTATGAGAATCGAAGATAGTTTTATAAAGACACGAGTTTATATTAAAGATATGATATATTACTGATTTTATATAAAACTTATGTTCTTATGTTGTAGTATATTTTTTATGTTCTTATGTTGTAGTATATTTTTTACAGGTTTGAATATTTAGTTGTAATTTTTTTAACCACACTATTGTTTTTATTTAAAAATATTTATCTCTTATGATAAAAACGTATTTAGTTTTTTAGTAAGAATATAATTTATCTATTAACTTATGTTTTTCTCAATAAATCTTTGACTTAGTAAATGCATAAGTTATTCTCTTTCTTTTCATCATCCTTCTCCTTGTTTTTACTTCTTCTTCTTCTTCGTATAATTTCTTCTTCTCATTCTTATCGTCCATTGTTGTTCTTCTTCTTCTCTTTTTTCAACTTCTTCTCTTTATTCTTCTTAATCACTTCTTCTTCTCCTTCATCCTTGTGCGAGGTGGAATTCACATAATAGAGTTTAGTTCAGAAAAATAAAAGAGGGACTTGAAGATTCATAGATAAACACAAGAACACAGATCCAAAGATGGTGTTTTTGTTATTGCTATTTTGTTAAATTTTTGATCAAGTGTTTTTCTAGGTTTTCCAGTTACAATAGATCATGTCTCCTATTTATACATATCTCTCTACAACCTAAATGGGAATCTCGATGAATATAGTCATAGATTTCCTTTTATTTCTTTTTTTACAAATCCCCTTCTGCAAGGCTAAGTCCTTCTAGGGCAAATCCTGCTTTTAGATGTCTTTTTGGGCTTATGACTCAGCTCATATGTTTATTGCTTTACATTAGGCCTCGTTCATCATCACTTAGGCCCATCAGAGAAATGGATCGGTTCCCACTTGGTTAATTTTGTTGGTTCGGTTTAACCGGCTGATTCGTCTCGTCTCTCCGGTTTGGCACATCTCTCTGGTTTGACAACTAAATGGTTTGGCACATTCTTACCGACCTCAACTCATCGGTTTGGTCTATCTTGTTGGTCTGGTCCACCTATCTGGTTCGGCGAACATGAATGGTTTGATCCGTCTTTATCGACCCGACTCATTGTTTATGCTCGGCAGTTCGCCGGTTCGGCTCGGTGGTTTGCTAATTCGACTTGTCAGTCTGGCTTATCACCTTTCTGGTTTGGCTAGGCTCATTTCCAAACTTAACATTTTCTTTATTGATCTCGTCATGGTGGAAATCGTCCCCAACAATTTTTTTCTTCTCCTTATGTTTTTCCTGCTTCTTCTTCTCCTCTCCCTTTTGTTTATTTTTATTCTTCTCCTTCTCCTTTTTTTATCCTTCGTTTTTCTTATTCTCCTTTCTTCTTCTCCGTATTTCTCCTTCTTCCTTTTTTTAGATTATCATGAGGTTCTGGACCGAAGTCTGCAATATCTGCAGTCCCGAAACCACATCATGTAATATTAGTTTCACCTCAAACATCATTCTATCAGGTGATCTCTAAGCTTCGCCTAGATCTTTTACCAGTTGAGCTAACGACTCTTGGTTACTCCTTAGTCTTCTCCTCCATCCTTTCTTCTTTTTCATCCCTTCTTCTTATTCTTCTCCTTCTCCTTTGTTATTCTTCCTCTCCCTTCTTCTTCTTCTTCTTCTTCTCTTCCTCCTTCATGTCTTCTTCTTCTTCATTTATTCTCCTTCTTCTCTGTTCTCATTTTCTGTTTTTTTCATCTTCTCTATTGTTCTTCTTCTTCATCACTTCTCCTTCTTCTCTTTCATTTTTCTTCTTTTTCACCCCTTCTTATTATTCCTTCTTTTCCTTCTTCTTCTTCATCACTTCTTCATCACCTCTTCTCCTTCTTCTCATGTTCTTCTCTTTTTTTTTTCTCCTTCTTCTTCTCTATTGTTATTTTTTTTCATCCACTGTTCTTCTCATTCATCTCTTCTCCTTATTCTCCTCATTCTTCTACTCTTTCTTATTTGTTCTTCTTCTTCTCTTTCTTTCTCAAACAAAAAAATTGATAAATGAAAAGGTAAAAAGATTAAACATAACAACTATATACATAGTAAACAAACTGAAAAAATATATTTAACATATAATAAATTAATTTCGATTAAAATGTGTTAATGTTTGCAAAGATATTTCTTTTAGAAAATATAAATAGAGAACAATTTTAGCCAAAACAAATTAGAAAAAAAGAGATAATGTGAGTTACTGTTTTCATTTCCCTCATAATTTGTTGAAATAATATTATAATAAATAGTTTTTATTTTGTTAATTGTGAATTATGAAAATCTTTTTGTTAATTTACAGATTTTTTATTATTAATATGTTATTACATCTACAATAAAAAAATATTAATATTGTTTGGAATGTTTTTGAGAATATTCTAAAACCATGTTTTTAGAATATGCTTTAAATTTATGCAGTTACTGTTTTTTTAATTAAAAATATTTAGATTTTTATTTGGGAAGCTTATTCCATAATTTTTGTGATCTGAGTATTAATAAAATATCACAATATTTAGTGCAATCATTTATTTTTAATTAATCATAGTGCTTATAATTTTGATCATGATGTTTTTAAATTTGAATTTGTTTAATCAAAAATTAAATTGATATTACATTGCACTAAACATATAACAAATAATATATAATTATTCATAAAATGATGTCTTAGTTTATTTTCCTAACATATGTGTGGTTATATTATTTCTTAATAACAAGAATATAGTTGTTAGTTTATATTGTGTATATGTATATAATTTAATTATATATATTTATAGTAATTATACTTTTTTTTTTTTTTTTTTTTTTTTTGTCAACAGCCTCAATATCTCCTAGAAAGCTGTTAGCCATTCCGAGGGTTTTGAGTGTACATAATAGAGATGATAAAGGTGATCTCGAGCACTTCGTGCTAGCTTGTCCGTCTTCGTGTTCCGCGCGCGTGGGATCATTGATATTAAGAAGAACTCGAATTCCCTTCTAGTTACTTCAAATTCCTCTAGATGTAGAGAGAATGCTGGCCAGGCCTCTGGATTAGACACCATCTTCAATTAATCTGAGCTTTCAGTGAGAAAGGACACTACTTGTCTTCCCACATCAAGCATATAGTGGATTGCCCATATTAGTACCTCGAGTTATGTGTGCAGAGGTGTTAAACTCTTTCCTAGTTTACGGATACCTATTAAAGTACTCTTAGTAGCTGTATCTATACTATACCAGCCTAAACCTGTATTTAAAATATCCTCTTTCCATGAACCATCGGTATAGAAGATGGTCACATTCCTAGTCTAGGCCCCATTTTGTAAATCTAGCGGAGCTGGTATCATTATATCTTCCGTATGCGCCTCCTCCCAGGCATTTGCCTCTGCCATTGCCACCTTGACCATATCTCGGGGGTCCCGATCAATGTTTTTGAAAATTTTGTCATTTCGTATTTTCCAAACATACCAGAGTATCCAAGGATAGACTTTCATATCCTCGTGATGTGGGAGATTCCAGAATAGGTATGCCATATTCGTGTATAGAGCTCTTATTGGGAAGCGGCCAATGGGCGTGGGTATCGGTGAAAGTGTCTATACCTGAACTGCCGGGGGGCATTCAAATAAGGTGTGGTTTATGGTTTTCCTATCCACACCACATCTGCTACACTGCGAATCACAATTGATTCCCCTAGCTTGCATGCGTGCAGTTACCGCCAGACAACCAGAAAGTCTTGCCACATAAAATGTTTTAATTTTGGTAGACATTTGATAGTCCAAACTTTTGCCTGTAAATGACTAATACCTGGACCAAAAAACTTTGAGAATTCTTTGTCTGGGTAAAGTTGCTCTGTTTATAGTAATTATAATTGTTATTTTCTTATTAACATATTTGTTTGGCCTATTATATTGTCAGAATAATATATATGAAAAATATATTTTGTTATATTTATTTTGCAAAATATTTTATATTGTATAAATATTTATGATTTAATCATATATGTATATAGTAATTATAATTATCATTTTGATTTATATAAATTTAGGTGCAATTAATTCTAAGATTAATTAGAATTTTGGAAATAATTATTTCTTTCTATATTTAAAATTATTTAATGTGTTTGGTAATTGGAGTTAAACTAACCTAAATAATATTTGAAAACTAATGTGTTTGGTAATAGATATATTTAAATAAAAAAATTAATTGATTGTATTAACAAATGACTAAACTACCATTAATGAATTTCTAGAGAAAATAAAAAAAAAACTAATGGTATTTCATATAATATAACTCATGAAATGTGTTTAAACATTGAATGACTTCTCAAATAATAGTATGGATGATCTCACAACACATTCAACAATTAGAGTATATATATCTCAAAAAATATACAAGACATGAGAAATTCAAATCTGCTGCATAGTTTTCCATTTCCAACATTGAGGTGATATTCTTTACTCGGAGGAAGAGGAAGAGGAAGAGCTCGATGACTTGGTAAACACGTTTCCGTAAGATCTTTCCATATAAGTAAAGTTCTTAGTTGGTGGTAGAGGAGGCACGCACAAACCTAAGCCTTTCTTCAAAATCTCTTCAAGGTTTAGTCTTTGCAATCTAAACACGTCTCTAGTTTCCTGCCAAACGAATGCAAGAAGATCATCAGAGATCACGTAAAGCGAACCAGGTTTAGAACCCGGATAACGGAACCCATATCCATCCGCAATACCCTCTCCCGTGTAAGAGTGCTGAAAGCATCCTCCATTTGTATCAAATGGAAAAGGCTCAAGGGATGGCTTGTCGATATTTACAACAAACATTGTGGATCCATTGGGATGTTCCACATAGTGAGTGCCTTCGAGTATTTTCGTCGCAATAAGATGTCTCTCATCACTAGTCCCATGATCAATATGCTCATCCGGTCCTCCATAAGAGAGCATGAGTAAGTAAAGAGCATTCCTAGGTTTATCTTCAATAGAGTTCCCAAGTTGCCAGCCAAATGTTCCTCCCCACAAACCTGTGTACTTTTGGTTCTTCATGTGACTCTTTATTGGTAGTTTATAAAGAGCATAGATCTCTGGGGGCATGATTGGCCAACCTTTGTAAGAGGACATATTAGTGTAGGAAGCTTTGAGACTAAGACCGAATGTATCATCGGAGTTAAGAAAGCTTTGGCGATTCGAATCACTTCTCGGAAGTGTGTTCTTTGTCGAATCTTTAATCTCACTGCTCGAAGGTGTGTTCTTCGAAGAACTAGACTTTCCTAGAACATGCTTGATACCAATTCCTAAAAACCTTCTAAAGCTCTTCTTTGGTGAGACTGCGACCTCAATCTGACTTTCTCTGTCGTCACTGAGATTTTCCCACATCTCATTTATGTCTACCTTTATGGAATTGTAACACAACTCGTCCTCATCCAGGTTCATTTTAAGGAACATGGTTCTGCGTTCCAACAACATCCTTTCATCATATTTCGAAGTGGGAAATAACCTTCCAATTGATGGTTCAAGTACGTGTACACCTACATGACTTGTCACCAGTTTGAGTAACTTTCTTCTATCGCTAAAAGCGAACTTGCAAAATGGAACCCCTCTCTTGTTTTCCCCTAATAACACCTTTGTTAATGCTTCTCTCTCAATCTCACTGCACAACTTCTTCTCTCGCCTCGGCTCGACCTCGAGAAGAAGCTCGTTGCAACTCTTATTGATGCTCGTAACGGAACCGGGATACACGCAACTTCCTTCTCTGTCCCTTCCATGGAGGAAAAACTCGGCAGAGCCATCAAGACCACAGATTATCTCAAACACCGGTGACCACATAACCAGACCCTCCTTAATCCCCAAAGGACCAACCTCTTGTGGAATTATCCGGCAACCAACAACAGACAAGAAACCAGACATCACGTAAACAACGTTGCCAAGTTCAGGGTTTTGGTTAACCCAAACCCCAATCAGAGGCTTAATTACCTTAACAAGAAACCGACAAAGCGCCTTGTAAGAAGAGATACCAATTCGCCATTGGATTATTTCAGATAAAGGAAGAACCTTTACAAGCTCACACTGCACAAGCCATGTCTTCTCGGAATTGACGAGGTCCCAGAGGCTTTTGCAGCAAAAGCTTAGATTGCAAATGTCACTTAGAGAAAGAAAATGAGAGATAACAGCAATTACATCTTCTGGAAGTGACATAAGCAAGCAAGCGCTAGATAATTTCGGCTTTAACTCTCCGAACATCATGTTGTACAGAATCCAACTCGCAACAAAACCACCAAAAGCTGGGTTTGGATAAGATAGCTTTCTACACACTCAAAAAACTAAACTTTAATCACTCATCAAAATAAAACGAAGAAAATGGAAATCTTCACACACAAAAACTGAACTTTTCAATCACTCGTCAAAACAAGAAGATAGGCAATAGCAGACGATGTGATCGTCTTAGTCTTCGGTTTAAAGTTTCAAAATTCGATTGTCTTCTTCAAAATTAGATAAAGGTGGGTTATTATTTATTAATAATTCTTTTGAAATTGTCTTTGGAAATCTATCCTAAATTCCTATAAATATTCTTCTAATTTTAAATAGCTACTCTTTAATTAATAAATCTAAAAGTGAATTGGTCAGATATATTTTTTTGTTGGTCAATGGTCAGATATTAATTTCTTTTGTTTGTGTATCTTATATATTAAAAAAATTGCGATACAAATGCTTGAGTCATCATCATCATCTAGATTGCGATCTTTCGATAAAATGTGTGATATAATACGATTTAAACTTTTGGAAGAATAACTTTTAGCTACATGAATTAATCACTGTATAATCGGATCATCTTCTTCTTTTTTTATCACTCTTTATTGATCCGAGTGGCCATTTTCCATTCCTTCAAATCCCTATAAATTTGTTTAAATCATGTCTATTTTTGATAGTGCATACATGTGCAAAATCTTGATATTATGAGAACGAAAATTATTAATTTCTATTATCAGTCCCAACTCATAAATTTAATAAATTTGTTTGGGAACAAATTTTGAGATTCTTATATGGAGGGCACTGATTGGTGAACGGACTTGCTGGGATAAGATTTTGATTTTGGAGGAAGTGTTAATCTGATATGTACGAGGGAAATGGAAAGGGTTTATCCTTTCGATTATTCTCCGACGTTCAAGTCAGAATAGAATACGGGACTGGTCGAGAGAATATGAGATATCGGATGAGCAGGAAAGAAGAGAACGCTCTGTTAACTCCGAATAATCTTGACAAAGCTTTTAGGGTTGTATCTTTCTGAATGAAGCTAGAAGATGAACTTATCTCTTTAGAAATTCTCCTCCTTTTACCGTTGGTATGAGGAAGGTACTTATAGGAGATACCTGATTACAGGTAGGATACGGGCCGGGGCTCCAGTCTTTATGGATCGGGTTCAGGCTATTATCCGCTCAGTTGTCCTTTAGAACTATTCCCAGAACTGATCGGACTGGCCCATGTGTGTTTCTAAAGGAGGAGTTGTTTACTTACTCCACATCTGCCTAACCGCTATCATTACGGTATGTCTTGGAAGATGCATAGCATTTAATGCTCCTCAGATTCCTGTGGCGGCTACTCTTCACGCGTTGAGCTTAATGGGCCAGATCGCGATTTGTGGTCCAACAGTAGCCCCCGACTTTCAAAGTTTGATTCGGGCGAGGTTCGGAAGTCTCCCCTCCCTTCACTTTCTTTGACGCAGTCAGTCACCTGGGATAACAAAAGGTTATTAAAGTAGGCTCACCGCCGGCTATTTATTAGTTTGTTGAGATAACATGTCCATAACCCGGGGGGTGGTTTCAGAGGACAGATTCTAGAAAAAAAACTCCCTGGAAGGTAAGTCTCTTGAGGTGATCCTGGAGGATGTTTCCTAGAGGAAAATTTCTCGGAGGGCGAGCTCCTGGAGGTGATCCCAGAAGAAAGTTCTTCGGAGGGCGAGTCCCTGTAGACGATCTTATAAGATATTTCCCGGAGGAAAATTTCCCGAAGGGCAAGCCCCTAGAGGCGATCCCGGAAGATATTTCCTGCAGGAAAGTTTCTTACAGGCGATCCCAGAAGATAGTTCCAGCAGGAAATTTCCCCGGAGGGTGAGCCCCTGGAGGCGATCCCGGAGGATATTTTCCAGAAAAAAAGTTCCACGGAGGACGATCCCTTGGAAGCGGTGGTTTGGGGTCCGGGCCCACCTTAACAGGAGCATCGTGGTGGGTTCCAGGGAATGATTATTACCCGTGATGGCGAGTGAGGTATCGATGAGTAACAAGTATTTTGCGTTCTAGTCCCCAGACTTTTCGTCGGATCTCCACATTGACCCGGGGTTTTTATGCCTTTTGGGCGGATCGTCTCGAGTCTCTCAAAAGAGATCTTCTAGGGTTGCACTCACATTATTGATTTTTTCTTCTTTCTTCCTGCCGTCTTCATGCAAACTTTTCTTCACGGCGCTTGACCTTTCTGTTCCTCTTTCTCGATAAGATCCTTTTCTGACTTCAGGATTAATTTCATAGTGATGGTACCGTATTCTTTGAGAGGGAGAAAGCCATCTGGGGTCGAGGGAAACCGCCCAGGCTCTTCGCCAGATAGGGGATCCGACGAATTGTCCTCCTATAGGGAGGTTTGGGCCCTCCTTCTAGGTCATCCTAGGCTCGAGGACGATAGGGTTAATACCAGCAAAGGAGCCGTCCACAGCTCTAGGAGGAGGCGCATATCCACAGAGAGTTCATCTTCATACTTCCTTTCGCAGCAACTAAATGCCAAACCTCCCAGCACCTTGCCGCTCATCTTCGATGACTCAGCCTTAGGCGAACAGCCTCCGCCTGACTGTATTGCGACGTTTAGCCTACCTATTGCATGGTCTCTGCTGTCGCCTCCCGTCAGTCTTTGTTGACCTTTGTAACCTAGGTGGTGTCTGTCCGAGTCAATTGGTTCTAGCGGCATGGGGCGTGTTGAGCTCGTTTCTGGTCCTGAGTGACTTGTCCGAGATCCCTATCTCGACCGAGCCAGTAGGGCTTTTTTCACTTTCCAAGTAAGCACCAAGCATGAGCCCCTGAGATTACCCTTAATCCTCGCCACGATCACGTTACCATCATCACGATAACCCCATGCAACAACAAAGGTTGGCAGGGGCGCATCGGTTTCTGACGGGTTGACCCTTTGGGCTCGGTTGTTGAGACCTGGAACAGACCGGTTGGTCATTGTCGTTTCGATCTTTTGATCCCTTTGACTGACTTATCATTTTTCCTTTTGCAGATTGCTGGGCTTCATGAGATGTCTCCACAATCACATCCTTAGCATTCTCTTGGGGCTCCGGAGCCAGATATTCCTTCTATCTGCTCTTTGTCTCAAGTCACTTCTCTTTGCATTCGTTCTGACACGGCTTACATGTCTAAAGGTATTTTCTTACCATCCTTTGAGGTTTGCGGCTGTTGCACTAGGAGGTTGACAGCTTGCTTTTTTCCCTCTTGATATGACCGGTTCTCTTGAAGATATAATCAGTTTCTCTGTCATGGAAGGTGATAGAGGATCCAATGATTCCGACAGGTCGCCACTTCGACTGAGGCGTGATAGCAGTATAAATTACTAAGCAAATCCTAACATACTCATGTCATTGCAGCATGTAAGGTATCAATCCATCTGAGTTCTTAAGGAACCAATAATACAACAAATCATTTAAGTCAAGCTAGATTCAAGAAAGCAGTTGTGATCAAACTAAACAAGTCTAAAGACTGAACTAAACAAAGCAGGAAATTCAGATATAAGAAGTAAGGATCTAAGATGGGGGTTATTGATTAAGAGGGGATTAGAACCTAACTAGTGATGCTTCAAAACCATTCAAACAATGCTATCTTCTAGGCATAGGATTAACAACTATAACTAGCTCAATTCGTTGACACTAATCACTTTACTAAGCACACATTCAAGATAAATCTCTTTACTTAAACACATGACCAGCAAGCATTCAGAACAGAACTCCAATCCTATAAAGCCAAAATGCACCTTAGACATATAATTCCTTAGGCTAAGCATACAAATCCTCTAAGAGACTCTACGCAGCATTTCATCAAACACTTACCAGGCGCAAGAGAAAGCCAAGATACTAAACAATCCTGGCCAAGACTAATCTAGTGTTAAGCACATGTAATAGAGAGAAGACAATCATATTAAGCACAAGACATCACTAATCTAGTCTTAAACCCCTCTAATCTAACCCATCTCAAACCCTAAATAAGATTACTTACTAGCCATAGTCAAAACCACAAATTCCAAAGAGAAAAAATGGTTAAGCATGATTAGAAAGCAGATTAAACAAGAATAGATCAAAGGCAAATACATAAATTCACTAAATCAAACTAGTTCTTACAAAGCAAAGCTGAAAAAGGAAAGATTTTTAGTGCAAAAGCAGAAGGAAAATAATAAGATCCAAGTTGCCTAACCATTTTAGGACTTTAGTATTTATAGGGAAACAAGAAAACCCCTAGTAAACCAAGATTAAACCGAAAATAAGCTGACTCGGACAGACCATATCGACAGTGAACATCGATACACATGTCGATATCATCTCTTCTTCTGGTTTGTATCGATGTCTTCAGGTCGATATGCACGTCGATACAGAAGGCTTCCAAGTTGTATCGGTTTGGTCTCCAGGGTGTGAAGTCGATACAATCGCCCTTTAGTTAAGGCTCATCGATCAAGCAAGTCGATATGTCACCTCGGTATTGTCATGTCATGTGTATCGGTTTGAGACGTCGATACACTGCTTGATATGGACTCCATTCTGCTGTATCGAGGTGTCTAAGTCGATATGCTTCCTTCACACTATGCCTCTCTCTGTATCGATGTTGAGGTGGTCGATACTCCCATCGATATGCTCTGTATCGATCACAAGATGTCGATATCACCATCGATATTGGTCCATCCGCCTTTGTCTCTTGCCTTGCTCCATTCCCAGCTCACACCCATTGCACCATATGACCTCCACACTCCTTCAAGTACATGAATAAAACTCCAAATGCATGCAGAATGCAATGCAGCTCCTAAAACTACACTAACTCCTAAATGTATGCAAATGAGACAAGAAGAAGCAAAATATGCATGTTTAGAGACTAAAACTAGTGATGAATGCAAGCTAAAATGGTATAAATAATGGAGATATCAACACCCCCACACTTGCCTTTTGCTTGTCCTCAAGCAAACAAACTAAGACATGGAGGAAGTGCGGTTTGAAGGTGGGC